TTTTTGGTTAAAAAGATCTTTTACAAGCCAGGTGGTGGGTCTTGTGCTTCAGAGGGTCAACTGTTACTAAATCAGATGCACAATACTTCTCAAATACACAAAAGTTCATCTAAAGCTCACGAGGGTTTATTTATTTTTTTCATAAAGCTCTCAGAACTAATGCCAGCACAGATCAGGAAAACACAGATTAACAAGTGCAGCACAAAGGACCCTTGAGAAGAGAAGGGAAGGAAAGGAAGGAGAAGTGGTACTGAATGGGCGCTGCGTCGCACTCGACTCATGACTCTGCACAGCGCTCATAATACCTTTGAAAAGGGAGGAAATCGGTTCAAATGAATCATTTCGCTGAGGAAGAAGTTTACCAAAACACAATATGTGTCAGGCAATGACGCTAAAGCTTTACTGTCCTTTTGTCTCACAGTTTTGTTCAGCTAAAGATTACTCATTCATTTAAAGACTTCCCGTGTGAACCTGTAGCGATAAACTGAGTTTACTGTATGTTTTGGATGGTGTGAAATAGAGGTGTGTTGCAGCGGCGAGATTTGGAACTGATGCATTTGTGGTAAAAGACAAACTCTAACACTTAACTTTACTGAAATGCCTTATTTCTGCTTTACATCTGCAATTAAAGAGGACTTTTGCATATGTAGCCTTCAATGTTGAGTAGCGAGTACTTGTGATATGTAATCAGGACATTGCTCAAAATCACACAGATAGATTGAGGCAGCACATTTAAGTGAATTTATTTAATTGGGAATAAGTTTAACCCTCCTATTACCTTCAAATTTGCTGACATCTTTTATCCTTGGGTTCAATTTGACCCCAGCAATTTAGATCTCCAGAAAATATCATGAATCAAAATTGTTTCCCAAGTTTATGTGTAAATATCTCTTTAAATAAAGCTGATAAAATTATGTCAGTGACTTATTTAAAGGTCAAATTGACCCCCAATATAATAGGAGGGTTAAGGAAAACAATCATACAGATAATAAGAAAAATGCTGAACAACCATGCCAGTAATCTGTCAGGCCTCTCGTATGAAACGAGTCTGACAGAACGCTCAGCCTGACGTGTGGTGCTTGCACAGCAAACACATGCCGCCTTTGTGCTGGAGGACAGGTGTGAGCGTGAAGCGGTGGCCTGAAGTGGGACAGGTGGTGGCTGTTCGTCAGACCACGGCTCCGGTTTGATACATCTTCTCTGTCTTTTTCTGTAAAGCCAAAAGCAGAGTTGACACAAGAACAACCCTGTGTCGTTTTCCAAAGCGCTGGTATCTTATTAACTCGAGTCAGCGAGTGTAACTGTCTGTATTGTATAAAACAACAAAGGCATCAGGCTGATATTTTCTCTCTCTGAGTCTTGAAGGAAGACACAAGGGACCACCCAAAGTGTCCCAAAGCTCCCGATAGTGTGACGCTCAGCTCTACAGTTTCGTTTGATGATGCAGATTTGGGTTTCTTGCTTTTTTATAAAGTGTGATGGTTGATTTTTGCACAAAGCGGCCGTCCTGACTTGTACGCCGGAGCACCGAATGCTTGTGCGTGAGGCGCCAACTGTTGCTGTTGGAGCTGATGATTCTGTCTGACGCTTGTTGAGTCAATCTGTCTCAGTCCTCAGACGGTACGACGGCTGCTTCGGTCATTTCTGCCTGGAACTGTCTGATTTTTAGTCATCGTTGTTGTCGGGATCGCTCCGTATAGTCACTGTAATTAGTGTCATCACCATATTTATTAGTCACTATACATTTACCAGTAAGGGTAGAAGTGATGTAATTCTCTTGCCCTTAACTTCACAACAAATAATGCATCATTGTCCTCTATGTGAAGAAGTTGGGTGGCATTTGTTAGCAGTGCAACTCCCTGACATGTCTTTTTTACCATCGATCAATTTCCCACTGCACGAGGTCACAACACTATTTAATATCATCCTGTTAATAGTGATGCTTTCGATTACTGTGCTCCACATAAGTGGAACAATCTGCAGAAGCTACTAAAATTAGACAAGCTGCTACCTTTTTAATCAATTTAAACCCCTGTTGACTTGTACAGAGCAGCGTGAATGTGTGTTTTCTTTAAACTGTGTCGTCTCACTTGATGTCCTTCATCTGTTTGTTGGCGTGTATTCTAAGTATTGTGTGCTTTTCATGTTTTATATATTGTGGAAAAAAAAGCTAACCTTCATGATTACGTTCAGGGAAAAAAGACCACACCAGATAGACCTTGTATGTCTGAAAAGGTCGGCAGGTTTGAACATTCGTACATCATTTTTTTTTTCCCCTTTGAAAGATGGCATCTTAATACTCCCTGACCTCTCACCCTGCACTCTCCTCACACCACTGCAGACAGAAAGATAGACAGACGGGTCAACAGAGGTCGGTGCTCTTATCAGCGCTGAGGGGAAACCATGGCAACCACGCTCCCAGCCTAATAACCATGACTTTCCATTACCGCGACCCCAAACTCTGACCTTCACCTCAGGCCCCAGAAGCCTCGGCGCGTCTGTGTGGACATGAAGGTCAAAGCGCGGATCTGTTAGTCACACTGATGCTCTTTCCTCTCTCGTCTATTAAAGCGAGTCTCAGAGTGTTTGTCATGATGCGTCACCTGGTTTCTCAAATGAAAACCTGTTGGCACGTGAATCACAGACACTCTTCAGTGTGATAACATGTAGTTGCAGCTCCCTGTTTGACTGTCAGACCGAGCTATTATCTGCTTGAATCCAGATGTGAGCGATGTGTCGCCTCGTGATCCACATCTTCCTCTGGATTTAATAATAATAATAATAATAATGATACTTTATTAATCCCTGACAGAGAAATTCCATTCACAGTTACATCCGTCCGAGACAGGAACTGTCGGGACTGCCAGCTAAGCCAGCGCCCTTATATATATATATTTGTGTGCGTCTGCGTCAAATCAAACATCCAAAAGCAGAGTCGTCTCTGCTGCAAGCGTCTGATAAGGAGGATGTAGCTGAAGTCGCAATTACCAAATAAATGTTCTTCAGACAACATGCATGTGTGCACTAATACAGGGATATTGGAGAAAAGAAGAAATGCATAAAGATTTTAAAGAAAACTCACATGAAGGAATGCAAATCTGATTATTAAAACTGCAATTGTGGAGCGAGAAAACTATTTCAAATGTCTGTATTAGTGTATATATTTGTAGTAATTATTGTCACACTTGTTTATTCAATCAAGAATAGAGGTTAAATCTTTCTTCCATCTTTCCAGCGAGAAAAATAAAATAGCAATTTACTTTATTTCTATTCTTTTGAGGTAGATCAGTGTGAGTGGGCTGTATAGAAGCAATGCTCGATGCACAGTTTTAACTTAGACTTTGTGCAGGATAATCAGATGCATTTCTTAAATCAGATGTTTAGATTTTCTGTACTGTTAGTTCCAAGTGATCAGATCTCTCTACATGGCTTCCTGTAGGAATGATCAGTACCTATGTAGGCATTAGGAGATCACTCTTGATAAATTGTTTCCGGTAGCTTCCTTCCAGCTTTGCCTGTTCTGAGGCGTCCCCTAGAAGTGCCAGCAGATGATTTATTCTGGCATCTGTCCACGGACTGTTGTTCTCCGTGTTGTGCGCTCCTGTCACTTTGGATTTGACGCTGTTGTTGTGCGTCGCGCTGTGAGTGATGCCAAGGAAACTTCAGCCTTCAGAGTGTCTGGACTGATCTGTAAAAAAAATAAATAGAAAAACACATTTCAAGTCACATTGGCATTTTTTTTTTTTTTGTGCTGTCTAGACATTCTAAAATCAATCTGGACACAATGTGGAAATGCCAAGAAAAAAAAAAAGCAGACTCAGGCTGGCATTTTTAACAAGGCTGATTATTTCGGGAATCCATGAAAGCTGCACAGATGTGGTTCTATTCTGACCGATCAAAACCACCAGATTTCCTGCCCCCCCCTCTTCTTTTTTTACCTCCACGATGAGGTAATGCAATATGTATACGGCAGATGGTTACGGCAGAAGGGGCACGTCTACAAGCCCCGTACTTAAATAAGCCTCTTTGTCATGACTTCAGCAGTAACCTGCGTCGAGGCGTCGGGTCAGATGAGTTCAAGCTTCTCTCTGCCGTCAGGTACACATGAAATATTCACGTTACCTGACCTTCATGTTGTTTCTGCTTTAAGAAACCGGCCTTTCTCTTCGGTGCAGCTTGGAGTTGGTTAGTTCTGCTCTAAAGGTTGAGAAAAATATTTTGGCAAGCGGTTGTTGAGTCGTCCTGTGAGATTTATAATGAATGCATGAATCAAATAGACATTACATAATATTAATAGGTACAGATGTGGTTGGAATCGGTTGTGACACACCTGGGAAAAGATTAAGCAATGCACTTATGTAAAGAATGTGAGTAATTTGTTTTTGCCAGCCTGTTTGTACGCTGCTGCCGTGCCCTTAAAACCAAAACATCAACACTAATCATGCCCGTCCCACGCCTGAGTGCATTCGTACTCACTGCTGCATGTGTCTGCATGAGTGTCGTAAATAGCAGCTCACGGTTTCATTTCGGTTTTCGTGATTGACGTGTGAAAGGAGGCGGCCGTGCGGTGTAACCAGCAGTTTATCCCACATCCACATGGTTGCCTCTTGCTTCATCTCACACACATATTGACCAATAATGCACGCAACTACCACTCCTACTCAACTATGTAAGGTTCATACTGTTCATTTTGATGTTAACGCGCCTCTTTTGCAAACTTATACTTCAGATTTTAGAGGGTGTTACAGATATATTACCTGCAGGGTTTCACATAGTTGGAGGCCTGAGGATGTCTTCCTGCTGTCATGCTGCAACTGTCTAGGTGATGTTTCTGATGCCAGAGTGCTCTAGAAACTTTTCTTGCACCGCTGACAAAATCCAGCCTTCAGGAACTTTCATGTGACTTTGTTCGAGCTGGTAAATTCTCTTCAGCTTTGTCACCACCAAGGCTAAATATTTCCACGTGTTCTTCCTTCCTGACCACTTTCTTTTCTTTGCAGGAGACCCTCCAGCAGCTGGTGATGATGCCTTTGCCGAATGTGCTGGTGCTGGGCCGAAACCCTCTCTCCGGTAAGTGACGGTGCACCAAACACTACAACCACATCTATATACAGGCTTTGACCAGCGCTGTGCAGGTTTTAGTCTGAGTGCTCCACGACAGTTCAACGAGGGGACACATGCGATTTTGCAGAGCTTTTGTCACTGCATTAGAATGCAATAATAGACCTGTTTTAATTATCCGGTGCTTTTATGTTTCACGTCTCTGGCTGTAGATTTCACTTTCCAGCCGCTTCATTTCATTGTTTCTCCTTGCTGCTTATTTGATTTGCCATTAAAAAATTAGCCGTGGTGGGAGGAACTTAACAGAAGAAAGTGGAAAAATAGATTTTTTATTGCAGAGAAGATGTAAAATGGACAGATTAATGGGTTCTTTTCAAGCTTCTCCTTCCTTTCGTCGCCCTTTCTTCGGTAAAAGCCTACTCGTGCTTTATAAATCCTCGTGCTCACCACAGGGACGTCCCCGCGGGCCGAATCGGCGGAGCTCTATTACCCGAAGTGTTAAATTCATTTTGTAGCCAAGCTTTGACCTGCTGAACCCAGCCGCGCTATTCGATATGTCTGAGCGGCCCGAAAGCAACAGTGGTGCAGAGTCAAGTGTTTGAATGTCACGAAAACGGGTTTGAGCAGCTTGACCCGTGCAGCCCCCAAGTGCTATTTGATATTCCAACATGGCCTTGATGAAGCCACCGAGGAGAATATAGCGAGCAGGAGGTCATCGATTAAGATAATGGTGCACTGAAAATGCAATGTTTGTGTGAAATAATGCTTGTTTCCCAGCGCATATAGATAGTGAAACATTTGCTATAACCACCAGAAGATAATTGGACTGGTTGCATAACTTCTGGAAAACAGAGCTTCTTGGCCTTTGTGCACCATCATCTGCTCCTCTAACTGAACCGACTCAGCTTTCGCGGCTTGTTGAAAGATATTTGTGTCTTTCTAAGCAAACAGAATAGCCTCTAAACCCCTGTCCACCCCCAGCTGCCTTTATCACACTTTCACCACAGCCGTTGCTGCTATTTTGGGGTTTTCATCGCTTTACAATGGTCACAGTTACCTCGTTTAATTTTCATACGCCCCCACCAGAATGGAGGGTAAATAAAGGAACAATGAGAGGCTGCAGGGAGTGCACACACGGATCATCGGCACCATGTTTCATAACTCTTGAGCAGCTTTTTGTTGGTGTTTTTTTTTTTTCTTTTTTTAAATCCTCTCAGTGCTGCTTCCCATAATAACTCAGTCTAGACATTGTGAAGACAAGAAGGTTCGAGTTCATGAACAGAACTCTTAAAATAATGCCTTTGCTGAATTTAAGACTTTTTGCAAAGATCGCTGATGCTTTTTTTTTTTTGTCAGAGCTGATATCAGTTATTAGCAATAAACGAGACTGATAACTTGTATTTGGAGCTAATATACATGGGTAACACAAACTCCAACACAAAACTTAGTTGAAATCATTTTGTTTGTTGACATTTTACAAATGTTTAATTAAAAACGAGCTCTTTAAGCATGTATCCTTCAGTGATGACAAGCTGTTACTGCTGACATTTAGCCAATCAGACACTTTAAAGATTTTTCTGGGGCATTTTACAGTCTTTTTAAAGGAATAGTTTAGGAGTGACAGGAAAGGTGAGGAGGGGATAGAGGGGGGATGACATGCAGCAAATCAATGCCGATCGATGGCCACTGCGGTGGGAACTTCCAGCCCTCATTCATGGGTGCTCAACTCGGTGTGCTATCGAGGGTCCAGAGTAGTGCGTTTTTAAATTTTTTATTGGAGATTGCTCAAAAAAGAATGATATTGATAGTCAATCAATCTCTAATCTGCCTCAAAAATCATCTAATACAGCAACCTTTCACATTAAAAGCACACCAAAGTCGACCCAGTGCACACATAAGATGGAGGGAAGCTGCATCCAAGTGCACCAGAGCAGGCAGAAAACATTAGACTGCATTCCTCAAGGTCTCTTTTGCCCTTTACCCCGTAGCTCGTCAGATAATCAGTCAGCCTCTCCGACCAGCGGCGGCCGCGGAGTCTGGCTCTGCGGCCCAGCGGCTGCCAGCTGAAAGTCATTGGCCATGTGGCTTTTATTAGGCTCCCATTAGGGGGCAGGGGGACAACGCTGCATGTGTGTGAGCGCACGCACGTGTGTGTTTAGTCGGTCGGATGGGGGGGAGGGGCGTCTTCACAACAGTGAACAGTGGGAATGCACTGTAGTTACCCCCCAGGCTCTGGTCTACCCCAGTCTGTCTTGCACAAACACGCACAGTCAGATGCACACACACAGTCCGCTGTGCATGCAAGTAGTGTTTAGTCATGCACATGTCAGAACACACACACACAGAGCGCCTCCTTTGTTTAGTCTGTCTGAATGTTGGCGAGTTATTAGCAGCGATCCGCTCTCTTATTCTGAAAACGTACTTTTCTAAGTGTGTGTATGACTATCAGTGATTGCAGGGTTGAATACGGCCTGCAGATGCTGTTTACAATAAATATACAGCAGTGACCAGTAAACATCAAATCCTCTCCGTCTACTACTTCTGCTAAAGGAAGACAGTTGGCAGCCAAATCTCAGAATGTGAATACATTTCATGAACAAATGTGGCCAAACGTATCCCTGACACAGTTCAGAGCTGGTTTAATTGATGTACCGCTCAACGGGCAGAAATCCTTTTGACAGTAGCAGCAACAGAAAAAGACAACTGTTGGCAGCTGACAGCTGACAGAAGGCATAAACCGAGAGGCTCCAAAGTTGTGTTTGTGAAGCGGTGGTCCATAAAGAGGTGTTCCATGAGTGTCGGCTAATGTTTGGTGCATTTATACAGTCTGTTTTCTTTAAAATGTGCATAGTTACAGAACAAGATCATGTGCTTTAAAGAAGGTGAAACAACATAAAGAGTCAAGATAAAAACAAAGTACGAAAAAACATAGAACCTTAAACCTAATAAAATTGTATGGTT